AAATACTGCGGAACAAAGTATTTTATCTTTTTAAAATGGAATAATTTGTCTAAATTCAGAAATTTTATAATACTTGTTTCAGATTGTGAATTTTAAAAATGATCAGCAACTAGGAGAGAAATATAAGTTCTAGGTATGGAAATATATTTTACTATGAAAAATAAATGTTTCTGGAGGAGAAAGTCTTTATGAAAAGGTAAACAAGTTGTACAGTGTCTAAGTTATACAAGATTAGTGAAGGATAAATTTCAAAACAGGTTTGTGTGTGATTAAGGTAGTTATAATTAGCACAATCAGTTGAAGTTATTTAAGGTTTTTTCCTAAGCTGAAATATTAAGATACTGATATAAACCAGAATTTAATTCTCTATGTGTTGAAATAACAACTGTTTCTTAAAACCTTCATCTGCTCTTATATATCAAGATAAGTTCTTGTGTCTGTTAGGTTCTAACTAGTCTTAAAGGAATTAGAGCTTGAACAACTCTGGTTAAACAAACAACTGTTACTGGTTTCTTTGTATATCAGATGTAGTCATGTCCTCCAAGTATGCAAGTCTTTAGAATACTAAATGGGAGTTCATATCTGCTTGAATCAAATGTATGAAATATGATATGTCAAGAGCTTTATAATGTTTTGAACAACTAATAATAATAAAAAAAATGCAAAAAAAAAAAAAAAAGAATTTCTTTAGAAAACTTAGAATTTCTCTTAAGGAGAAATTGTCCCAAGCTGATGTTCTTCAAACTAAAGTTTTCTGTAGCAGTGATCTCTTTCAGACTTATATAAAAATAACACATTTAGTTGGGAATTCATTTATATCATTTAAAGTTTTGTAATTGAATAAAAATAATGTGTCATCCATAAAAAAAAATTAAAAAATAAAATGCATGTGTGTGAATGTGTGTACATGTGCAAACACTCATGGCATCCAGAGACACAGTGATCAGGGGATAACTCGTTAACACCTGACTTCTTCATGGGGTGGTAAGCTCCATGTGTGCAGGGACCATGTCTGTTTTTGGTCATGTCTTGACTAGCACATGGCTCGACTCAATTAATTGTTGTTCAATCAATGAATGGAACATTCCCATCTCCATTAACAGAGGTAAGGAGTAGCATCTGTTTGAAGGTCAAAGAGCTCTGGGTACTCATTTCTTCACTTTTAGTAGCTTAGCAAGAATTTGGTTCAGCAGCTCAGTGGAAGAATGCACTAATGGCAGCTGAGCTCCACCAGAGCCTCCCTGTTTTAACAAGGTTATACCTTCATCCAGGAAGTACCAGCTGTTGTGCCAGTTGCCTACATGCTCCCACTCCCACTTTCAGTTCTTATAAATATGTGTGGTGTTTGTGGGGGTGGAGTGCCTCTCTACTGAAAAGCTTGCCTTTGTGTGTCCAGTCTAGGGATGCTCACCCTGGACTTCATTCTATGTGGGATAGGAGGAATGCAGGGGACCATTGTGTTCTGTGACCTTTTTGTTTGTAATTTCTTCCACCATAAGTTGTGTGATTCTATTAGTTTGTGTGTGTGCACATGAGCACACATATATTTTGTACAAAAAGGGGACATGATACACTCTTACTTGTTCTTCTTGAGGTCCTTGTGGGTTCTTCAGATAGAAATATCCACATATAGGTTTTAGAGCAAACAGAGTAGTGTCTGGGATGGACATAATTCAGGGTCACCAGTATGCAATTGCCTTCAGATTGCTGTGACAGTATAAAGGAAGATTACCTGGCCCAGACCCCAAAGCTATGGATGGTTTCCTAGAAGACAGAAGACCTGCACCGGATCTTCCTAAATGAGGTTTTCTGAGCTAACAGTGTGTGAGAAATGGAAACGTCTAGGAAGCAAACAAAGCTTGTTAGTCCATTGGAAGGAAATACATATGATGCATTCCATATGGGTTCTGTAACCCAGAGGTCCTCTACACAGATAACTGTCAACAGAAATCTCAACTCATCCTAATTCCTTATTATCGTCTCTTGGCCCATGACAGCCTTAAGCCAGTGGGAAATCTTTATTAATGAACAAGGAGTTGTTAAAAATGTTATTTGCTGCCTAAAGTCACTTTCAGAAATTAGTAAAAATAGGGTGGTCCTGGTCTAGTAGATGCTCTAAATCTTTATCTGCCCTTATGGTGTTGGAGACAGGAGGCTGGAAAACATCTAGAATCAGATGCTACAGGATCTAGATTGTACAAAGGGAGCAGAGAAAAAGGGAAGACATTTGTATGAGACTAGAAGACAAGCTGGATTCGAGGATGGTCATATCATGTGAAGTAAACTTGTGAGACATTGGAGACGACATTGTTCCAGGGATGTACTAGGAGCAGATCTCTCCCCAGACTTCACCTTTCACTTCTCCCCATGTTGCAAACAAAGCTGAAGAGTCTCAAGTCATTTCTTCTTCTGAAATGACAGGCTAGTCTAAACCAGAAACCCCAAATCTCAATTCTGGCCTCCAACACTACATGACTTTTTAGACTTTAAGATTTTGAGATTCATTTTAACACAACAAAATGCTAGGAATAAGAATGCTGATTCTTTTTTTTTAAGAGAGAGAGAGAGAGAGAGAGAGAGAGAGAGAGAGAGAGAGAGAGAGAATCTTTTTTGTAAATGGACACAACACAATGCCTTTATTTATTTATTTTTTTTATATGGTGCTGAGGCTCGAACCCGGATCCCGCCCATGCTAAGAGAGTGCTCTACCACCGAGCCACAATCCCAGCCCAAGAATGCTGATTCTTAATATGTGCACAAAACCACATATGTAAAATAAATGAATTTTTCTATATTCACAAAAGTTGTACTTGGAAATACTGAGAGAGTTCAAAAAAAATTTAAAGTTACTAGAGATCATTATCTGTCTGGCAAAGGCAGATGTTTACCTGTCCCCTGAAGACACTAATTTCTGAAGCCTCCAAGGGGTAACAAGGTGGAGAAGAAAAATCCCAATGTGAAAATGATGTCAGCCAAGTTGTTTGTCTCTGTGTCTATTGGTCCTTTTTAAGCTCTCCTTTTGTGGGGTCCACTGGGCTGGCATGACTGTCCCTCTTCTTTGCCCATGAAGTGTCAGTTAAGTCTTCTTAGCCAGGTGAGTGCCATCCCCGCTGCATACTCACAACTGAGTTTCCATGAAAGTGAAGTTCTCCCTCTGGACTCCGGACTAGCTTTTTCTTCCCCTGCAAAACTCCAGTGGGACTTGGGTATTTGATTGTGAGAGGGCAGAAGGAGGCAGTCAGCAAAGACTAAGTTTTTTGAGCCACACTAACTGAGAGGATGGCAAGCCTGTTACCAAAATAGTTCCATGAAGGGCAGATCAGGATGGAAAGAGGGCAGTTCAGCTTTGGAGAGACTGAGTTGGAGGTAACGGTAAGAACATGTCCATGCGGTAAAGGTCACACCTGCAGATGGTAGTTGACCCATTATGGACCTGAGGACACTATTCCTCCAGATGTGTCTTCTTCTGCTCTTGCCTTTTGCCTTGGGGGATCTTTGACTCAAGCCATTTCCTATGTGAATTAGGCTCCAGGTGAGTGAATTCAATATCTACCCCCTCAGGCAGAGGTCGATGAAGGCTACCAGGTATTTTGTGGGGGTGGTCACTTCGGGGCTAAGCAGTGGCTCCCACACATGATCATCATATATGGCTCTGTAACTATTGCTTTATCTGGTCATTAAGCCCATGATACTATATGGGTTAGATGATGACTGATTAGATTCAGTAGAAAAAAGAGCAAAAAGCTAAGTGGTGGTAGAATTGGAAGCAGAGTGGAATTTGGGGTCTGGTTCTCTTGCTTACTCAACACTCCTCTGGGAGAGATGAACTGTGTATCCAGTGAGGCAGCTCAACTTTGTATCTACTCCATCACCTGAGAGCTTAAACCTTGAAACTCTCACTCTTCTCAAAGATCATTTTAGATTCTTATTCAATAAAATGTCAGTACTTTGGACCCCAAATTTCCTAGATTCTATATGGAGAAATGCAAAACAATCTGACTATTTAGAAAATCTAAAAGGCTGTCAGTCACTGATTTTGGAGCTGGAAATGTCTTCAATGATGTGTCTTCATGCAGTTTCCCGATTTATCATTGCATTTTTACCTTTTTCTGAAGAGTTCAGGTGGAGGCTCATGGCTTCACGAGTTAATCATTTAATAGTCTGGGCCACAGGAATCACCTCACTGCTACTATCACTCATAGTCAGTCAGTCCTCTGTCTCTGTGAGTTCTATATCCTTGGAGTCAACTCAGCACAGATAAAAAAATATTTGGAAAAGAATTGCATCTGTGCTGAACCTGTAGAGAAGTTTTACTTGCTATTATTATCTAAACTGTATAATGTTACAACTATTTACATGACTTTTACATTGCAAGACGTAATATACATAATCTAGAGATGACTTAAAGTATGTGGGAGAATGTGCATAGATTACAAGCAAATACTATGCCATCTATGAGACTTGAGCATCTGCAGGATTTGGTATCCAAGGAGTCCTGGAACCAAACTCCGGAGGTTACCAAGGGATGACTGTATGATGACATTCATATGTAGAGGTTGGAGATGCAGGTTGGAGGCACCGTGTCTACCCCCTTTTCCCAAAGCTTCCCTTTCATCCTCTGGGATCTGTGTACCCCCAAACTATCACAATGCCGCCACCTGCAGACTTGAGGTTTCTTTCCTGGAAATTTGGCCTCTGGAAAATTGTCTGTCCCTCTAACTCAATATCCCTCAAATGTCACTCTTGTTCTTCTTTTTATATCAGTTTATCTATCTCTGTTTGTGGCTGTCCAATGCCTCTGTTCTTGCCCACGAAGAGTCAGATTTATCAAGCCTTTTCTTATTATAGCTCAATCTTTAACTTTCTCCTCCCTAAATTTTGTGTGTCTTTACTCTCCTGGACATTGTCACACTTGATGGTTGTTATAAAGATCTCATTCTCCTTTTACCACCATTGGTGCCTTCAAACTTTGCTCAATCTATTGCAGGTGGAAGAAAGTCATGGATCTGGGAGCCTCAGGAAATGATTCACTTGTGACCCAGTTTGTCCTGCTGGGCCTAACAGAGACCAGCTCTGCAGCCCATCCTCTTTGTCGTCTTCCTTCTTGCTTATGTAGCAACTATTGGTGGTAATTTTAGTATCCTTGCTGCCATCTTTATGGAACCCAAACTCCACACCCCCATGTACTTCTTCCTGGGATTGTCTCTGCTAGATGTTGGGAGCATCAGTGTCACTGTCCCTGCCATGTTAAGGCATTTCATATCTAACAACAAAACCATCCACTATCGGGCATGCCTTTCACAGCTCTTCTTCCATCTGCTGGCTGGGACGGATTGCTTTCTGCTGACTGTCATGGCCTACGACCGCTATCTGGCCATTTGCCAGCCTCTCACCTACAACACCCTTATGGGTTGGGGGATGCAGAAGGCCTTGGCTGGCATGTCCTGTGTCTTTTCCTTCACCAATGCACTGACTCAAACTGTTGCCTTGTCTACTCTTAAATTCCGTGGCCCCAATGTGATCAATCACTTCTACTGTGACCTCCCCCAGCTCTTCCAGCTCTCCTGCTCCAGCACCCAGCTCAATGAGCAGTTGCTCTTTGCAGCAGCAGCCTTCATGGGTGTGGCCCCCTTGGTCCTCATCATGGTGTCCTATGCCCATGTGGTGGCTGAAGTGCTACGAATCCACTCTGCAGAGGGCAGGAAGAAGGCCTTCTCCACGTGTGGCTCCCACCTCACCGTGGTGGGCATCTTCTATGGGACAGGTGTCTTCAGCTACATGAGGCTGGGTTCTGTGGAGTCTTCGGACAAGGACAAGGGCATTTGCATCCTCAACACTGTCATCAGCCCCATGCTGAACCCACTCATCTACAGCCTCAGGAACCCCGATGTGAAGGGCGCCCTGCGGAGGGTGCCCACAGGGAAGTTGCCCCCCAAGTGAGACTCTCTGCCTCTGGTCTTAACAAATGCATTGCTCTACTTAAGCTTCTAACAGGTATTGTCCTTACTGGAAATAGAGTGTGGGTATGATGGAATGGGGTCCGAGACTGGCTCAGGAAGGAAGGTGCAATCAAAATGATGAGAATAATCCCTTATTCCATAACTACCATATACTTGCCACTATTCTCAGTGAGTGGACTCTATTAGCTCATTCAGTTCTCATAACCTTTTGAAGTGGTTACAGATTTATAAACTGTGTCTTATAAAACTGAACCTCAGAAGGTCTGAATAATTTGCTGAAAGTCACAAAGCTAATAAATGTCACAGCTGGGATTTGAACCCAGGGCAAGATACACCTGTAATTATTGCCTCTCAAAGAGTAATAAACCATCTCAAGGAGAAAGGGTATCCTAAGTTGAAGAGATGGGAGGGACATTAAAGACTAAAAAATATGAAAAGGAACATGAAAATGTGAATTAGGAAGTTTGTATTTCCTTAACAAATTTGATTTGTTCCAAAGCAGCTGGTCCAAGTTGAGGTATTGCTGGATGTCAATTTTAAGAAATAAACCTATAAGACGAAACTGAATTTAAAAAGTCAATTCTGAGCTGGGTCCCGAGGCATGTGCTTGTAATCCCAGAGGCTTGGGAGGCTGAGGCAGCAGGATCACCAGTTCAAAGCCAGCCTCAGCAACGGCAAGGCACGGAGCAACTCAGAGAGACCCTGTCTCTAAATAAAATACAAAATAGGGCTGGGGATGTGGCTCAGTGGCCAAATGCCCCTGAGTTCAATCCCCAATACCAAAAAACAAAAAACAACCAATACTGAAAGAATACGTACTGATTAGAAAAACCACAGAGATGTCAAATGTTTTCATATTGGACCATTAACAACAAAAAATAAATCTGAAAAAGTTAATTAGAGAAAGAGGTTTGGCTTAGTCAAGATGGAAAAATCTTGGTTTAGTTAAGATGGAAAAATCTTGACTAAATGGAGATCTTTGTTACCCTTGACTGAAACTTGAAATCAGCCCCTCTGCATGTTACTATCAGGAGGAAGATATTTTATTTATTGAATTTATAGCTTTAAACAACTGTTTCCATAATTCAAAAAAATGTGTGCTTATTGAAAATTAGAAAGTACAAAAGAGCTGGATGTGGTGGCAAGTGTTTGTAATTTCAGCGACTTCAGTGACTGAGGCAGGAGGTTTGCAAAGCCAACCTCAGCAACTTAGCAACCAAGGCCCTAAGCAACTTAGTGAGACTCTGTCTCAAAATAAATAAAAACAAAAAACAAAAACCCAAAAAGGACTGGAGATGTGGCTCAGTTAAATCCCCACTACCACCACCACCAACAACAAAAAAAAACCCCACACATACACAAAAAGAGCAAAATAAAAAATCACCCATAGGTTGACCATTCATTGATAATATGAATATTTAGCATATATGTGTAAATATTTTTCATTCATAAGATATATTTACAAAAAGAATTTTTCTACATCTAAAGCTCTGTAACCTTAATAATATAGGCAAACATCTTTTCATGTCATTAAACATAGGTCTTCTTATCTTTTTCTGTGATTGCATAGTATTCCTTTGACTGAATGGAGGAAAATAGACATAATAACCTTCTATTGGTGAACCTGTGTTGGTTCAAATAATCTGAATGCTGCAACAAGTGTTCCTGTATTTTCACCTGTATACACTCTTCTAATTTCTAAAAATAAAAACCTGTGAGTGGTGTTTCTAGTTGAAAGGCTATAAAATTCTCCAAGGCACATGACAATATTTGGCTAGATTGGCACTCAGAAGCAGCTGAACAAATCAACATTTCCAATGACCAATTACTTCTGTCCTTGTCAAATGATAATGATATGCCAAATGTTATAACTCACTGCTCAGTTAATTGTATGTGTTTGTATAGTGAATGGCTAGAAAGCTATTTTTACATAAAGATATTAAAGTTATATATTTCTTTTTTTATATAAAAATTTTTAAAAAGTGCTCTTAACTAGTAAATGAGGAGATAGAGATGAAGCCATGGGTTGGGTATTTGCCAAGTTGATAGGGAGGAGGCCATTCCAGCAGGGTGTGGCCCCTCCAAGGGCACTTGGAGAGAGGTGGTTGGAGTAGGAGCAGGTGCAGTTGGAGGATCCAGTAAATGGAAAGTCAGGAAATGGAGACTGCAGATGAAGGCAACTCTTTGGAGAAGTTCAGCTATGATTGGAAGAAGGGACGTGCTGAGGTAGCCAATGGAGAAACAAATATTAAGAAAGTCTTGAATTTTTTAACTTTTTTTTTTTTTTAAGATGAGAGTAGTTGTATGTTTATATGCTGGTAAGCAAACAGCAACAAAAGAGAAGATGAAGCTTTGGGAGACAATCCACATCCAAATTCTAACAATGACACTCTGAAAAAGGCAAAACCATGGGGACAGAAGTGAGATTAGAGGTTTCCACAGGCTAAGGTGTGAAGAGGAGGGAGACTGATGGCAAAGGGCCACCAGGGTCCTGAAGGGAATCATTGAAATGTTGTCTGTATTGATGGAGGTACTATAAGTACTACTCGATCTTTTCTCAAACCCATAAAACTTTACAATTAAATTTATACTTTAATTAAACCAACTTTAAAAATTTCACCTTTAAAAATGTGAAAAATAAATGAGAAAAAAAAATGTACCCAAATCAGTTATTATCTGGGGCTCAGTGTGAGCTCCAAACCCATTCTCTGGATACCGCAAGTCATCAGAGTTTTTTGGTGACACTTTTCCAGATCTGCAATCTGATGACTACAGCTTTCCTCCTTTTTGGAAACATTAGGAGGTGGGAGTGATGTCATGAATCTAATGATTCTTTAAGAGTCCAAAATACTAGGCAGATAGGAGAAATCCTCAAGGACTAAGGTTGTTTGTCTGTCTCTGGCTTCTTGTGCAGCCTCTGGGGAAGTTTGGTGTTAGGGCCTCTCAATGCTAATTAGCTCCTGAGTGGAGAGAACACTGGGACAGATTCTCTGGGCCCCTGCCTTGCTCCCTTTATTAAGCCTATTGGAGACAGAGGACCTTGGGTCAGCTTGGCACTCACTGCCCTCTGAGAACCACCCCCAGGTGTCCAGCTCATTCGCAGGAAGGTAAGTGCACCACAGGCCTGCCCAGAGCTCCAGGTGTTCTACTCACTCATGATCTTCAGGTGGCCTCTTCCTGATCTATAGGAGAATGGTAGTAACTATAATGATGAGATTTTCATTCTAAGTCACTGGAAGGGAAGGGAAAATGAACATATATACCTAATCTACATATTCATATTCACGGCAAGGTCCCTGGCAGACAGCAGGAATTGGCTGAAAATGAATCAGCTCTCTTCTCAGAACATAATCTGACATGTGACCTTAGTCAAGTTAATATTTTTGAACTTGACTTTTCTCATCTATCTGGCAATAGATGGCCAATAGATTTTGTAGAACAGGAGAGGATGGAAGTGTTGGGAGCATAAGGGCTCACCTATGGTAGCCTGTTAGCATAATCTATGTTCTGTGTTTTGTGCTACTGATTCTGAATGGCTCTCTCATGACTCAGGACAAACTATTCTTCTTAATGCTTCTTATTCCTTTCCATATATGAAAATACTGGAATGAATCAGGTTACCGTTGTCTGTGATGTCACAGGAGGGCAAGCTCCAGTAAAGATTGGGCTGAATAAGGAAAATCACTTTAAGAAGTTGGGATGATGAGAATTGAGGGTTGGATTTTTGATGTACAGAAGGGGGACATACTGATGGTAGGGGTGGGGTGGGAAGCACTAGTTAGCAACAGAGAGCGGTCCAGCTTATGCAAGCATCCAGAAGAAGGAGGCCTTGAAGTTTGGAAAATCATCAAATGCAAGTATTTCAATATTCTAATTTTTTACTTGGAAGCTCAAGTTTTATCATTGCAACAAGTACTTTCTGTTGTTTGCTTAGAGGACTTGCTCACTTGGTTTATTTTTAAGAAAACACAATCAAATACAGAAATACAAATAAATAGAGTTTATTGGTCAATCATCCTTTCAAATAAAAATAGTTTTCCATTAAAATGTTAGCTGTTTAGTTATCATTACAAACAATCACATAGTATTTTTCTTAGATAATTGCACTTTAGTATATAGTAGAAATGCTTTATGAATACATTCCATTTCATCAGTCAATGTATTAAAATATGTTACCATAAGGGTTGAGGTGTTTTTATTTTATTCCTAACTGAAGATGATGGCTGCTGCTGCTCCTGCCTCCCTCTACCCCTCACCTACCACACCTTCTTTTTTTGCATGTATATTGTACTGAGGAGTACAAACACCATGGTTCAGTGTCAGTGTTGTGATTCCTGCTAAGACACTCATAGTTTCACCCACAGCTGATCTTTTACCATCAGGCCAAATATCAGCACAGTGAAAAACAGCCAGAGAGAAAATCCTTGCATAATTTTGAAAATAATTTTAACACACAAACTGGCTGAGTGATGCACAGAGTTTCACAATTCTCCATGGATAACACTTGGAGAACTGCTGCTCTGTAGTCTAGTCAAAGGAGGAATAGCTATGCCTGTAACCAGTCTTAATGTGTCCCTGGAGACATTCCAGAAATTCCCTTTGGCATTTTATGTATTTTTTACTTTATTTATTTTTTAATTTGTACAGTAGAGAAAAAGGTTATCTTTTAAAAATATTATTTAATGAATTAGGCCAATATTTGGAAGATCTGTAGGTCAGTGAATCAATACTTTCCAATGACCAAGGACTTGATGATACAGAGTCATATAATTGGTTAAAGATGCATTAAAAATGCAGGATACATTAACGTGTTTAAAATTGAAAAGTTTGTTGAGTTTTTCAGATTCCACATTGCAACTATCATTTGTTGAATTTTGTATCAAAATAGAATATCCATAAATATCTCATAAGGATATTAAAATCTATTATCCTATTTCACATCTGTTTGATTCCTGATTGTCTTTATAGATTACCAACCAA